GAGCAATGGCAATGTCGAATGGTGACACTCGGTAAGTAATCCTACAATTTTTTGTTTATAGCGTAGTTTATACGGATTATTCCCAAAAAATATATACGTATTTTGGAAATGTTGAGTCGGATTAGTCTAGAATCGATTAATTTTATGGAAGAAAATCTTTCAAACAGCCATAGTCCGTAAACTTGACACGTGTCGGGTTGTGATTGGAAGGATTCGTAAGAAAGCGGATTCCTAGAGAATGGAACGTATCTCTATCTTATAGGGGGGTCGACTGTATTAAAAAAATTCTAAAAATCAAAATATTATTAGTAATAATAGTATGAATTGATTCTTGAAAAAGGTTTATTCCAGATATTTTAACATTTTTATAAATTTCTACATTTAAAATTACAATATTCTAATTAATATTATATAAATATGATATTAATTTTACTTACTTACAGATTGTAAATACTGTACAATTTTTAAATGATTTAAATATTCATTTTCTAATTTTGTTTCTAAATTTCTTTTTTCTTCAATTAATAAACTTTCTTCTTGCCTATGACATTCTTTGGCTTTTTCTAATGATTTTAAGGCATTTGCACATTCAGCATTCAAATTTTTATGATTTTCATATAATACACATTTAGTTTTCTCTTTATATAACTAGAAAAATAAAATTTAAAAAATTTTTCTTAATTATGAATAAATATTTTGATAAAATAACAATTCTCAATATTACTAAGATAAAAAAATTTAAAATTTTCATTAATGTGATGATTTTAAATCTAAAATTCTAAAATTGATTAAAAATATAACTATAATTCTAAAATTAAAATCCAGAATATAATCTTCAAGTAAATTCTCAAACAGTATCGATTTCAAGGAATGAATTATGACATGAACAGTTAACTAATAAAAATATTTATTTTACTTTTTCCTTTCTATCCAAATACATTTCGCCGATGCTCTTTGGCCTCATCAGTGGATAGTGATACTTGTTTACATTTGTGTTTTTATACTGTACAAATCTATCCCAGCATGCATCTAGTGACATTCCAGTATTTAAATTTATATTAGTTACATATTTCAAAATACTGAAGTGTTCTTTTATGTGACATTTAATTAAATTATTTTCTTTATACAGTATTTTATATTATTTCTATTAATTTTGCAATCATATTTACTACAATGTTGGAACCAAGGAGATTCTTTATACTTTAAATATATTGATGCTTCATGTTCTTTTAGTCTTTTTACCAGCTTCCATTTCGTTTTGCCTATGTAACACTTTGGCTGAGAGCATGTACATGAAAGTTTATATACTACATCTGCAACATCAACCGGTTGATTGTTTTCTTTTTCTTCTTTATTAAAAATAAAATTTAATGCATTTGATAATCTATTTTTTGGGGAAGCAATGATATGTGTAGAAAGATCATTAAATTTGCTTTTATATTTTTCATATAAGCAATTTATATAAGGTCTCTTTCCTTAAATAAATTGTTTATATGAAAAATAAACCAGTGAAATATACAATGAAAGTAACAGGATGGTATGTTCTCTTTACATACCATCTGGTTACTTTCATATTCTTTATATCTGTTGCTCATGAAATTATCATACCACTTAGTCATTCTGGGATATCCATTTAATATATATTTTTTAAAAGTTATGGTTCTTCTATTTTTATATCTTCAGGGAGTGTAGTTCTTGTTAGAATTTTTTGAAATTCCATGAGAAATAAGTTCAATGATCATCATCAGTTACCAAAAATAGATATATTCCATTTTTGGTAACTGATGATGACCGTTGAAAAACGACTGAAAACGTTTTTATTTTATTAAATTTTGCTGGATTTAAATCGGTGTAGTTTATTTTTCAACTTATTCTACTTCCAGTATGTATTTGTTAAATGTTCCATGAGAAAAGTATTTTATATCTCTGGGGCAATAAGATTTATAATTAATCATTTTTTAATGTTGCACTGTTTTTTGTACTTACAAAATTGTAGTATTTTACTATTTCTTTTAATTGTGATTACCAAGAAGTTCATTATTGTCTTCTTCAAAGCGCCCAAAGTATTACATGGGAAAAACAAAATCGATGCTGGAAAAAAGACTAAAAGAACATGAAGCATCAATATATTTAAAGTATAAAGAATCTCCTTGGTTCCAACATTGTAGTAAATATGATTGCAAAATTAATAGAAATAATATAAAATACTGTATAAAGAAAATAATTTAATTAAATGTCACATAAAAGAACACTTCAGTATTTTGAAATATGTAAATAATATAAATTTAAATACTGGAATGTCACTAGATGCATGCTGGGATAGATTTGTACAGTATAAAAACACAAATGTAAAACAAGTATCACTATCCACTGATGAGGCCAAAGAGCATCGGCGAAATGTATTTGGATAGAAAGGAAAAAGTAAAATAAATATCTTTATTAGTTAACTGTTCATGTCATAATTCATTCCTTGAAATCGGTACTGTTTGAGAATTTACTCGAAGATTATATTCTGGAGTTTAATTTTTTTTTAAATTGTAGAATTATAGTTATATATATTCTTAATCAATTTAAAATAAATAACCGATTCCATTGTATAATTAAATTTTGAATTGTAAATCTTTTAGTATATTAAATATCAGAAATTTTTTAAATCTTATATACAGTACTTTATAATATAAAAATTTTTATATTTACTTTATATTAAAGTTTATGTAATGAGTACAGAAATAATTTCATTTATAATTTTAATTTTTGTTATGATATTTACATTGTTAAGATTTGAGTATTAATTATCTTTTTTCAAGAACATAACATTTTCTTTTAAAAATATGAGTAAAACAAAATTAATTATTGATTTTAATACATTAATTCAAGTCGTATTTAACACAATTAGATTATAATATGGACAAGTTACTGATGTTTTTAAATTAATCAATTCAGATTTAATCAAAACAATAAAATTTAGAATGGTGAAACTAACATAAATGATTAATTTAATATATGTAAAAACTCCAGTATTAACTTTTTCATTCAAAACACTGCATTTACAGAGTTCACATCTTTATTATCCTAGTGCTTTTAGCTTCCTACAACCCATCTTCAGAGTCATTAACAGTCAAAATGAAAAACAAAAAAATGCACACATCTGATATGTAATTTTTGAATCTTGTGACTCTTTGAATTTTTTTTTTTTTTTTTGAATGTTAAATGGATATGTGGTTATTTTCTAGACATTCAAGATGTACTTTTTTAAAATTTTATCTGTTAATGTCACTGAAGATAAGTTAAAGGAACCCAAAGGCACTAGAATAATAAAGATGAAAACTCTGGAAAAGTAGTGTTTTGAGTAAATAATATAAATTGATGCTTTAAATAAGATTTGACCAAATATTTAATATTTGACAAGAATCAAACCAAATTATTCAGCTATTCACTGCTGTGAAATAACCATGATTCCATATCAAAATTTATCAGTATACTGCTTATTTAAGGCAAATGAAAATATTTATTTCTCAGATATATTTTTGGATTTTTTTGAAGCTATCTTCAGCTACTGAAATTACAGTAGTTATATAATCAAAAGTCAAATACTTGTATCTGAAGATGGCTTCAAGAAAGCCAAAAAATAAATATTTATTTCTTTCAAATATATTTATAGCTGTACTAAAATAGCTTTATTATTAACTGATGAAGCTTTTCATATCAAAAGCTTTTTATTACGAGTAAATTTATATTGTGCATAAATGTGATATTATTTCATTTTCATTGATAATTTCTGCAAGTAAAAATGAGAAAGTTATCTCAACTAGATTAAGTTTTGATATGTTTGCAGTATTGAGTTTAAAGGAAGTTGTGTACTATGATTCCAAAAATGTACATAAACCTAACATCATTGTTGTCAAAATATATGTCCAAATTTAAAGTACAGTAAGACCCCGCTTAACGCTGCCTTGATTAATGCTGAGTCAATATAACACTGTCTGCTCGAAGCCTAAAAAAAGCTCAAAATTTACGCACATTCAAATTATCACAGCATTTCATTGATTCATATGTAATATCATTATTCCTAAATGTGAACCAATCAGCAAAAGGTGGCAATTCGTCGTAGCACTGTACATTCTTTAAATCTACGTTTGTTTGGTGCAATTTTAGAAAAAATATAACATTGTGGATGCCATAGGCAATATCAATTTCGCTTGGCAAGAATTAACTGATAACTGCATAAACGAAGTGTGAAAAAAATTATGGCTGGAAGTATCAAAGAATTCTCAACGAGAAGAGTCTATCGCTGTATCGTTAGGTTGACCAAATTGTCAACCTAATTGATACAGCAGGACTAGGGGATGTAGACAAGCAGGATATTGAGAAGGTACTGCAGGTTTCTGTGAGACCCGAAAGGCCCCTGGGTCTAAATTAATAATTTTATTAATTATGTTAAATATTGTCACCAAATATTACTTCATTTTTGATGAGAAAAATACTGTTTTAACGTGGAAAAAGGCAGATAACAGATGTTACTTCCTTTCACAGAAGTTGAACATCCTCTGACTTTCCCTTATCTGGTTAAAATCCTGCTCAGATGGGAAATGGTTACCCCTCATTCATTCCCCTTTCATCCGTTCTCATGAAAGAGTTACTGGCCGATGATTGGTCGAAATTCAGAAGATATACAGGGAATTTGTCAGAATTCGGGGAGTTCAGTGACAGTTCTGGAAGCGTCCAAACTCCATACGTTTTTCCTCCGGATGACCAACGTCACTAGACGAGTCACATACAGAATTAGCACTTAGAAACCATACTAGAGTTAGCACTTAGAAACCATACTTGGATTATGTGCACATATTGATCTCCCATACGAAGAAGTAAATGAACTTTATCTCCAAAGTGTCCCTTGCATACAGAGAAGAAGACGAACGACAACTAAAACAGGTCGTATGTTTTATAACGATTTTGTGAGCTCTCTCTCGATTGCGAATAGGGTATAATATGAGCTTAGCTATCTCCCGATTTGTATATTATTTGTAGTAGTTCTGTCTCTCGTTTATCCACATTTTGTATGAGTTTATTTTCTTGTTTTATTAAATTTATTGTTTCGTTTTTAATTAAAATGTCTCTTAACTGTGTGTCCGAATCAGATCTCTTACGCATGTTTGTCCGCGCATCGATAAATTGACAAACTGGTGTCAAGGAATCCTGACGTAGATCTGGACCTCGCAGTCTAGATCGGTTTCGTGTATTTATCGCCCTCCTATAAAAAGTTTAGAGAGCCGATCACACGATCGTGCGCCAGTAAGTGATATAGGTAATTTACTTATACCCTTGGCTACTCTCACATTTCTGGTGAGAGCCTTACCAACGACGACTTTCAAGAACTGACAGAATATGGAATTCATATGAAACTGGAAAATAGAAATTCTGAAAATGAAGAACCCAAAAAATTTCTCTACAGATTTCCTTAGTAAAAGTTTGGTAACAATAACTGAAATCATTGATCAAATTGTAGCAAATGATCCTGATTTTAAAAGGAGTGCAAAAGGCTTTTTGGATGTGATCTCCTGCTACCAACATTTGCTTAAGAAAAGAAAAAAGCGACAAATGAAATTACACAACTTTATCACAAAACAAGAATTTCAAAAGAGCCAGGACCTTCATCACAAAAAAATGAACTTTACATTTCTGTGTGCATATGTTTGCATTATTTAACATATATTATTATGCGGGGGCGCTTCCGACGTTCGTCAGTGTTGGTGAGTTTTTTGAGAGAGCTGTTTTTGTTGAATTATAGTGCTTTGGATATGTTTGCTTTTACAAAGTGTTTGATTCTTTATCTTGGTTTCATCAAAGAATTTGATATATATTTATTATTACGTGCTTTATTGGTAATTGGAGGTATTGAATCTAATCCTGGACCGATGTCTCGTACTCCACCTTCCTCCCCTATTTCAAAGTCGTCCATATCAGTTGTTGGAAAACGTCAAAGATCTCCTAGTGAACCGACTTTGAAATCTCAGCGATTGGAAAAGTTTTTTCCTCCTTCGGGTTNTATTTATAGCTGTACTAAAATAGCTTTATTATTAACTGATGAAGCTTTTCATATCAAAAGCTTTTTATTACGAGTAAATTTATATTGTGCATAAATGTGATATTATTTCATTTTCATTGATAATTTCTGCAAGTAAAAATGAGAAAGTTATCTCAACTAGATTAAGTTTTGATATGTTTGCAGTATTGAGTTTAAAGGAAGTTGTGTACTATGATTCCAAAAATGTACATAAACCTAACATCATTGTTGTCAAAATATATGTCCAAATTTAAAGTACAGTAAGACCCCGCTTAACGCTGCCTTGATTAATGCTGAGTCAATATAACACTGTCTGCTCGAAGCCTAAAAAAAGCTCAAAATTTACGCACATTCAAATTATCACAGCATTTCATTGATTCATATGTAATATCATTATTCCTAAATGTGAACCAATCAGCAAAAGGTGGCAATTCGTCGTAGCACTGTACATTCTTTAAATCTACGTTTGTTTGGTGCAATTTTAGAAAAAATATAACATTGTGGATGCCATAGGCAATATCAATTTCGCTTGGCAAGAATTAACTGATAACTGCATAAACGAAGTGTGAAAAAAATTATGGCTGGAAGTATCAAAGAATTCTCAACGAGAAGAGTCTATCGCTGTATCGTTAGGTTGACCAAATTGTCAACCTAATTGATACAGCAGGACTAGGGGATGTAGACAAGCAGGATATTGAGAAGGTACTGCAGGTTTCTGTGAGACCCGAAAGGCCCCTGGGTCTAAATTAATAATTTTATTAATTATGTTAAATATTGTCACCAAATATTACTTCATTTTTGATGAGAAAAATACTGTTTTAACGTGGAAAAAGGCAGATAACAGATGTTACTTCCTTTCACAGAAGTTGAACATCCTCTGACTTTCCCTTATCTGGTTAAAATCCTGCTCAGATGGGAAATGGTTACCCCTCATTCATTCCCCTTTCATCCGTTCTCATGAAAGAGTTACTGGCCGATGATTGGTCGAAATTCAGAAGATATACAGGGAATTTGTCAGAATTCGGGGAGTTCAGTGACAGTTCTGGAAGCGTCCAAACTCCATACGTTTTTCCTCCGGATGACCAACGTCACTAGACGAGTCACATACAGAATTAGCACTTAGAAACCATACTAGAGTTAGCACTTAGAAACCATACTTGGATTATGTGCACATATTGATCTCCCATACGAAGAAGTAAATGAACTTTATCTCCAAAGTGTCCCTTGCATACAGAGAAGAAGACGAACGACAACTAAACAGGTCGTATGTTTTATAACGATTTTGTGAGCTCTCTCTCGATTGCGAATAGGGTATAATATGAGCTTAGCTATCTCCCGATTTGTATATTATTTGTAGTAGTTCTGTCTCTCGTTTATCCACATTTTGTATGAGTTTATTTTCTTGTTTTATTAAATTTATTGTTTCGTTTTTAATTAAAATGTCTCTTAACTGTGTGTCCGAATCAGATCTCTTACGCATGTTTGTCCGCGCATCGATAAATTGACAAACTGGTGTCAAGGAATCCTGACGTAGATCTGGACCTCGCAGTCTAGATCGGTTTCGCGTATTTATCGCCCTCCTATAAAAAGTTTAGAGAGCCGATCACACGATCGTGCGCCAGTAAGTGATATAGGTAATTTACTTATACCCTTGGCTACTCTCACATTTCTGGTGAGAGCCTTACCAACGACGACTTTCAAGAACTGACAGAATATGGAATTCATATGAAACTGGAAAATAGAAATTCTGAAAATGAAGAACCCAAAAAATTTCTCTACAGATTTCCTTAGTAAAAGTTTGGTAACAATAACTGAAATCATTGATCAAATTGTAGCAAATGATCCTGATTTTAAAAGGAGTGCAAAAGGCTTTTTGGATGTGATCTCCTGCTACCAACATTTGCTTAAGAAAAGAAAAAAGCGACAAATGAAATTACACAACTTTATCACAAAACAAGAATTTCAAAAGAGCCAGGACCTTCATCACAAAAAAATGAACTTTACATTTCTGTGTGCATATGTTTGCATTATTTAACATATATTATTATGCAAATTAATGTAAAAATAACTAAAAATTAAAGTAAAATCTGTTTATCTATGGTTGCATGTTCCCCTTTCTCTATTTGCTCTGTATTAAAGTGACCTCATTTAACACTGTTTTGTTTAGCACTTTGTTGTCTAGAATGTATCCACCACGTTAAGTGGGGTCTTAATGTATAATAATTTTTTAAAATTGATTTTAAAATATTTCATATTAAGTACTATAATAATTATTTTATATATTATCATAAAGTGTATATCTAGATTTTTAATGTTTAACATTAAGAATATAGAGTTATACTTTTACCAATTTTTGTGAAATTTTAATCATAAAAAAGTTATAAAACATGGCATTGTAACATATTTAAAAAGTAATTCATATCACATGAAAAGATGATAATGTAAAGCATTTGGAACAGAGTTTAAAAAGAATTTGAAAAGAATCTGAGTGTTTGAATAGTTCAAATATGAAATGTAGTTTGAAAGAGAGTGAGTTTAAAAGGTAGTTGGGAGAAACAGTTTAAAAGGAAAGATGCTCAATAGAATAGTAGTTCAATTAGTGATAGAAGATACTGTAGAATTTAATAAAAAGGAAGAAAAGAAGAAATTAGACTGCATAGGAAATTCAATCAAATAGGTAGGAACCAGGCAGAATGGACTTATCCTCATCATTACAACAGTAACTGCAAATTGACTGTAAAGTGATTTTAAAAAATATTCATAGCAGACACTATTTTTGTAAATAAATAAATATCATATTTCCTTAAATAAACCCTGGAAGGATTTATTTTTAGAACTTATGTATCCCAAGATTTATTTGAAGGCTCAGGGTTTACTAAATTCAAATAAACCCCTTATTTGAGACGGGGTTTATTTGAATCTCGAAGTTTAATCAAAGAAATACAGATAGATATAATTATTATAATATTAAAGATAGTAATTATAAAAATATATAAAAAATATTATATTTTAAATAGTTATATAATTTATATAATTTAAAAATCATTTAATTTAACATTTATAATTTAAAAAATATTATAGAATTTACAATTACATTTATTTCCATTTTGTGTTTATTTTCTGCTTCTTCAAAAGCTATTTCTTTACAAAGAATTTCAGAATTTTTTTCTTCTAATTCTTGTTTTGTTATTTCCCAAAATGTGTTGATTTGATCTCTTTCTATTTGATAAAAGTTACGTTCTTCTCGTTCTCGTTCTAATTCTTCACGAAGTCTAATAATATGATCAATCAGCTGGAACAATTATTTAAAAATTATTACTACATATTTTTAAACTTAAAAAATTCATAACACACAACAAAAATTCACAGAAAATGCAATGTCCTGTATAAAATCATATATTATATAAGAAATTTAATTTTGATTTATGAATATTTTTCCTTCTACAACTCTTATTAATTTATTAACAACAACAATATATTTTTTATAAAAATTAGCCAGGACAAATTTAAATTTAGAAAAATTAAAAAAAAAAATTATTGAGTAGATAATACGTACAAGATGTGTCTTTTCACTTAGTCTTTTCAAATGCACATGAGGAAAATACAATTCTACAGGAGAGTTGACCTTTCATTTGAGGCTACTCATCCATCTCTGTATGTAAAAAGGTTAAAAATTATCCCTCTGGTGGTGGCACAATCATAAAAATTAAATAAATACATTTTATAAAAATTAGCCAGAAAAAATTTAAAATTTGTAAACTTAAATTTGTCCTGGCTAATTTTTATAAAATGTATTTATTTAAATTTTTTATGATTGTGCCATTGCCAGAGGGATATTTTTACTTTTTTACATATAGAGGCAGATAAAAGGAGGCTCAAGTAAAAGGTCGACTCTGCTGTAGAATTGTTATTTTCCTCATGTGCATTTGAAAAGACTAAGTGAAAAGATTATGTGAGAACCTAGGGGATAGTGTGCCAAGCTTCTCCTCACTTATCAACTTCTATGTCAGGGATGGACTCGATTAAGTGAGTGGGAGGGACAGCGGGGTCACGATAAGGCGTCGGTTGTACTTATGGATAACACAGACTTAGTTATAAGAATAACATATTTAATTAACTATTAAACAAATGAATACAAATCAAGACTACAAAAAGGGAATAATCCAAATATATTTCGGAATCGTGACAAGAATATATGGTCATCGATGTATCGTCTAACATCTAGCCTATACAAGACATAATATCCTTTAAGTTTAACTAAGTGAATCTATAACCGAGACAGCGAGAGATAAAGACGCGAAAGGATTACCTTTCTCACCACGATGATCAAGATTTTGGAAGTGGGTATGTCGGAGTACAGAGCAGGGAATTGAAGAGGTTCAGCCTGAAGTCTTCTCCTTGGAGATCGTCCCGAGGTGCGGGTGCAACCCCTTTTTATTCATGTCCTGTAGGAGGAAAAAGTTCAGGGAACATCCTGATGCAATTCCACGCAAGTTTGACTGGTCGAGAAAAGTTTCGATTTCCGATAATTAGTATAAACATTTCGGCAGATTTATTACTTTTGCTATCCCATATTGTCACTCTTTCTAACTCATAAATTTGATAACAGGTGTCAAACTAACAGAATTAATGGCTAGAGGTGACTAAGGTTAGGATATATATTGCAATCTTAGTAATAATTGTTTGTTTGGTGGATTATCCGATCGGTTTTATCATTATTAAAATCGGATGAAGTAAGAAGTGAGTGAGTTGGTTTGGTTCGGACTCCACTTGCAGGTGACCTTCCAGGTTACCCTCTATCGTAAACGATTTGAGGTTTTTGCTAATTGGCAAGTTAGTTTGTAAATTGCAACGAAGGTGTAAATTAATTATCCCCGGGAGAGGGGATAATTCGAAATTGGCAGTCGTTCGAAATGACTTTGAAAGTAGGGAAGGTCAATTATTGATGTGATGTTTAAAATCAAGGTTAAAGGTCCTTCTGGGAACTGGAGAAAGAAGGGAAATAATGATAAAAAAATATCGTAATGTTTTAAGTTTTTTAAAACTCCCAAAAGAGTTCAAATCCTCACATATTATCTACTCAAAAAATTTTTTTTTAATTTTTGAAAACAATATATTTTACTAAAAAAAATGTGAAATAATAATTGGTACTAATCTTGTGTAATAGCAAGAAAGAATTTTTGATTTATAGTTATATTAAGTTACTTACATTACTCATTTTCCAATTTGTTTCAGTTATTTTGTGTTTTGAGGTTGAGTTGTCTTATGTTAAACCTCAACTGCTAGAGTTTTATTTGCATAATTTCATAGTACAATTTGAATAATAAATGGAAATGCATCCTATTAATTTAATATTTTAGTCATATTTATAAATAGAAAATTATTTAGATTGATTCTTGTAAACAATTACAAGTTGAGCAAAAACAAGTTTTTCTTAATTTTCACTTCAGTGCACAGCTGTTAAATTATAAATTATTCGTGCTGATTAAGCATTCTTCTTGGTTCTTTTCATGCTGCAATAATTCATGATTATTCTGCAAATGAAATTGTTGACATTCTACTAGTACTTAGAGAATGTCAACATAATTACAGAAGCACAACTTATGCTTATCAAAGTCATTTTCCATAGAGAAGTCATCTAAACATTTCAATTGTTCAATTGGGACAAATTGATAGGTCTTACTGTATCTAGAAAGACACAAAATGCAAAGCATCAATGGCAACTACACAAAAAAGCTGACATTCTTTACTTCTTCTATGAAATATAAAAGATGCGAATGGTTCTTGGATAGAAGTACTTTTTTATGTTTGTTTTCTAGTAGTAAAAGTATGCTAACAGAGCCGACAGAGATACAGAAAATAGTAAGCAATGCACCGAATAAATTACAACCCTACTTACGCCTCATGAGATTGGATAAACCGATTGATATCTCACGACAACTACACAATGGATAATTGTGCATTGGCAGTTTTGACAATGAATCATGATTATCCAAAAATAAGTCTTTGACAAACAGATCTTAACGTAGGAATATCTAGATCAACTATGCATTGGATTTTGAAATCAATACATTTTCATTTATATTATATCATGTTAGTCCAAGCCTTATCTGAAAAAAACCATTGCAATAGAGTTGCATTTTGTCAGAGGGTGTTCCAACAAACAATTGCACAATCTAATTGAAGCCGCCATCTGCAGAAGTGCCTAAGTGACTATTTCCAAATATGCAAGTGAGAAGAAGTAAAAAAATTTTTGATTCAGGCAAATAACAGTTATAAACTCACATTAAATAAACTTTAAAATTTAAATATAATACTGATACCACTACTGACTTAATAAAAATGTTATGCTTATGAAAGTAAGGATGTATTCTGTTTGGCAAATCATATGCATGCAGTACAACATTCTGCAGTCAACTGTATGCAACTGCTTCCTTGTTACTTGAGTGTATCATGCTCAAGTTCAAACAATTCAAATTTTTTTTTTCATTCACCATGAAAGCATTCTTTTGATTGTTTTCAATCAGGAAGAAAACAATTGAAATATTATATCTGATGATCTTGTGGGAGCCATAGATAAGAAACTTATCAAAAAAGAGAATAAATCTTTTGAGGGTTTTTAATAGAAATGGGGCTTTGCTTTTTAGGGGGCAGAAAATGATTAAAAGAAGGAAAAAATTTGTTTTTGGTTAACTGGCCAATAATCAATAGTTATGCCATTGCATTTTGGAATTCACAAACTCTATGATTTGAATTGAGAGATAGAAGTATTATACAACTTTTGGTGATCCCTGTCTGCCATCATCCATTCATCTCGAAAATTTTAAGTTCGGATCATGTGACATATTTACTACACAAAATTTTGATTATCCTTCTCAGCATATTCTAAACATCCACAAATCTAATAATTTGAATTGCATGATGGAACTATTATACAACTGTTTGATGAACCCTGTCTTCCATTGTCTGTACATCCTCGAAACTTGAAAAATGATTTCCCTAAACAACTATTTGATGATCCCAATTCTGCCATCCTGATGCACAATGAAAACTTTACTTGCCATGTAGTTTAGTTTCTTCTTCTGAATGTAATTCTGCTTGGCAATTCCTGTATTTTTCCTTTATTTACTTGGAGTTTCTCTGGCCCTGGTTCAGATCTTTCCTAAGGATGTTGGTAATTTATGAAAAATATCCAGTATAATACTGAACATTTCTTTTGCAGCTGAACAATTCAGTTATCTTTGCATAATAATCACAAAAGTTATTTGAAAAAGTTAAATTTTAAACTGTTATTATCCATGTTTTGTTATTGGCATAATTTGGCAAAAAATTTTCTTTTCCATACATGTGTGATTAGGTCATCTACTGAAAACCTCATTCAAACTTCTCTACATTTAGAAGCTGTAGACCATTGAATGTTTTTTTTTTCATTTTTATTTGTCATGTATTGCAATATTATTCTGAATGAATTTTCCAGCATTCTAGGTGAAATGTAATTCTGACACACAATGTGGTTTTCATATATGTTGTTGGCGTGCAAAAGAGAAATGAACATTTATAAATTTAAAAAGTGTCAGAAATTTAATTGAGAGGGGAATAAATGAAAAAATTTTACTAATGAAAATATTAATAATGAAAACAACATGGTCAGGGACAACAATACAATTTAAGTGCACAGAAGATTACTTTTGTAAATATCTTTGGCAGCCTATCAGTAGAGACTGCACACTGCTGAGCAGGATATCGTTCATTTACAGAAAATTTTTTCTGACAATTAGCCAAGTTGTGCATGGTTTGCTCACTTTGCATGTGACAGAGCATAAGGATTGCCAAAAAGAATAATTTTGTAAGTAGTCACAAAATTTAGTTTGGATTTAAACCATTTTTTGACATCCAGCTGGTAAATTACTTACAGCGACACAAATACCAATTGTGAGGGACGAACAGACCCGCAATAAAGTGTTATTTTAAACTTTAATTATTGGGAAATTCTTAACTTCGAGCGTTTTATCAAGTTAGGCTAAAAGCCATAAAAATTATTTCCCACAGAGTTGGTTCCTTGTTGAAGAGGATCTAGCTAGTCAGTGATGTGTCACCCGGAACTTTCGATAAAGTGCCCACATTGGATACCAGACCCTTAACAACAACCTCCTGATCTCATGGGAAAAACCCAAGAGGAATAACAAGGGAGAACGGAAAAAAACACCCAAAGTCAGTCATCTTCCAAAGTCCTTCCACCAAAGTCGTCCTCAAGGATTAATATCGTGACCAAGAATCCAGAATTAAAACCATGACAATTGTGCCTCTTTAAGGATATCATCCCCACTTCCGTGCTTCCACACCTCCGTGTTCCTGTTAACGAACAAGACCCAGAAACATTTGATCGAACATTCCATCGGCGGTGTCATCTTACTACAGATCTTTGACTCAGAAGAAAGGTATTTATCAACCCGCAATTCGTTTGTAAACTCTCTCTCTCTCTCTCTCGAATGGCCTAGTATAATTAGGGGAACTTTAGGCATGCCCGCTATTGAATATATCTGTATTTTCTTTGGTTCTTATTAAAATTGTTATTTGTTAGTTAATATGGAATCCGAGTGAGTCACTTCCTCGTCTCTCTCTTCACCTCTGCTCCGAAGCCCACTGCTCAACCGATACTGCTCGCATGACATAAAGTTGCGATTTCCGAGTCCTGAGAGACTCAGTGGTGTCACATCCTGACGTGGTGTCAACAAGACACCGATCCTACAGTCACACAATTATCTGAGGTAATATGGACCAATAATACTTGGATAACTGAAAACTCAGATAATATGAACAACTACAATCATTTCAGATTAAAAATTACAAATATAAAAAATTTATATGGTATCTCACTTTTAAACTTTTTTTATACCTTACTGAATTTAAACATATATAAGAACAATTTTTATGTCATTATGCAGCTAATACATACAATAGTTTTTAAGTAAAAATAATAAAATTCATGGCCAGCGTTATTTACATTTAATATATAAAAATTTACAGATCAGTAAATAAAGTATATTTACCAGTCATATTACTTTCATTTCTTCCCAAATATACAGGATGAGGCCTAGCTGGAAGTGAACATCCTCACTCCAAAACTTCTGAATGCTTTTTAATGGGACGTATAGCATAAAAACAAGTAAATACAATAAGATCACATGAACTCTAAAATATAGTCACTAATCACTTCTTGCCCTGTCTCCAAGATGAGACATACATGCATTTTACAATTTGCACTGTTTGTTTATATATCTTTTTAATATGTAATTGCTTCTCATGTGTGTTCATCATGATTTTTTTGAATGTCCATTTATTAAAAAACACACCAATGGAAGGTTACACCAAATCTCAACAAATATTATAGTATAAAGAGTCCTGTCAACATGCACTTGGGTGGGGGACTGCTCTACTGGGCCATGCTCATTTTTATGGACAAAACAGCACAAAAACAAGTAAAACACCAAAGCCATTTTTGGGACAAGACTATGTCTCAGAGACTCAGGCACCATTTTCTAAGGAAAAGAGAAAAATGAGCACTAACCAATGAGGAAAAGCCGACAGTACTCGGGGTCCTGGCGTAGATTATAGTGGGCTTTGTTGCCACAGTGATTACAACAGGTTGTATTGTCATGGCCTGTTCTTGGCTATGGTAAGTGGGATCACTTTGATGCTCACGGCAAATCTCATTCTCATTCTCCAATCTTCTTTGGTATTGCTGGTTTTGAATGTGATCATTCAAACTTCACCAGTCATGGCCATGAGGTTGTCCACAAGGCATTTTTGGTTAAATTAACCTATCCAATGTCAAAATTTTTCTCAGTTGCGTGTCGCCCCGGGTTAAATTTTTGCTGATGCCTAACAAAAATTTCCCATTTTTGAAAAATATCATGGCTATTGTATCGCCCAAAATTATTATTATTTTTTTATTTTGCACAAACAAAATAAATATATTAATAAATATAAAAACAAAAAAAAATTATATTTCGGAAGTTCGTTTTAATATAAAATTATAACAACTAGTGCCATCTAGTTTCAAAAACATTTTGATGCTGAAATGAGATATCTCAGGTCAACTGGTCTAGGTTAACTGGTCACAACCAGAGATATGACGGGAATAACACAGGACAGATAAATGGGTTTTTTCATAGATTCGTTTGTCAAAATTTGATTTTGTGCATTCACACTTCCAACTTCCCAACAAGCAATGCATGCATAAATCTCGCACAAGTAGCTGTTTGTAGAAAGATGTCACCATTTTGTATTTTATTTTGACTCAGTTCTCAGTCCTCTGACTACCTACAAGTTTGGATTTTTTTTAATGTGGGCATGGTTTGGGCACCAAATACTCTGTGCCAAATTGCAACTCCTGACATGTACTCCAGCCGAAGGCACTTATAAAAAAGACATAGTCTTGTCAATTATGGCCACTTAATATAATTTTGTCTTCATTGTTGAAAAAACATTTTCTTCTTGATTTTTAGACAGTTGCAGAATTGCAAAATGTGGTCTAAATGATTTTTTTTTTTGATCATGTTATGCCATCTTGTATGCTCATCAGATTTTAAATTCAACAGAACTTCTACCACATAAATGCATATATTCTAGATTGCATAAATGGACTGATACAAATTTAAGAAAAACAGAATAATCACTAAAATATCAATAATATACCTACTGTTTTATTTACTGTTTATGTTCACTCATTAAAAATAAAGATAGTTTCTTGAATATTTGTTTTTATGCTTTATATTTTCATGACATTCTATTTATTCATGTTCACTGTGCAAGACATTAGAAAAGGCAAATTTTGCATATTTTTCATATAGGAGAAAAAATTAAATTTTTATTAGCATTCTATCTTAAAAATTTATTGGGTCAATTTCCAATAAATTTTTAAGCCTGTGGTTCATAGCCTGTGGTATTGCAAATTTCCAATACCACAGGTTCTGCTCTAGCTATTTCCACTTTGTTTATATGACTCCAAAGTAACACAGTACGGATTTCAATGTATAGCGTGTGTTGCATTTTTGCAACACATGGCATTTAATGTGTTAAAAATAGACCCTTATAAATCTTCCTTAGAATACTGCTCCCTTATGCTGACTGCTGCTCTAAAAATTTTACCAAGATGGCACTCATAAATTGACTGCTCTATCATCCATTGTTCTGTTAACAGGAATCCACCTAATATAAAACATAGAGGAGAAAATCAAGAACACAGAAGAGTGCTCTCTTAAGCAAACTGTTCAATGTATACAATGCTCTGTTAAGTGGACTCAATTGTACTATACTAAAATTTATATCAAATTTTTTTTATATTCATTATTATTGTATTTTTTTTTTATCATTATGCTATTTGTTCTGTATCATATGTAAAATCATTTATACTATTAGATAAATAATTTTCCACATTACAAAAACTCGGATTTAATATTATTTATTAAAAAAGTTTTTTTATGAAAATACCTCCTCTCTTGTCATATCTGCTAAAGGGATTCCATCTATAGTTAGCAATTTTTTCTGTTCTTTTCCCCATTTTTTTCCTTTTTTCTTTTTTGGAGGCTGAAAGAATAAAATTAATGAATAATAAAATATTGTAATTGCTTTGACTTATTAAAATACAGTACAGATTTTTTAAAAAGAAATATAAAATCTAAGGATTATCAAGTTTTATAAGCTAATTTTAAATATTAAACACTCATGTAAAGTGCCAAATATATACAATATATACTTATAATTTTATTTTTAAGTTTATTTAGATGTCATAGTTGTTGGTGATTGTAGTTTGATTATCTTCATACGTTTTGTCTAGGACCAGGAAAGTCCCAGTTTCAGGATGATGGTCTCAGTCTCTTGGCTCATTTATAATTTTGTCTGAGGAAAAGTGCCTTATTATTTATGTAAATTAATTGGGAATACAGAGAAGCAACTTGGTAAAATATTTGGTAATTGGTAAAATATGCCAAATTTAGGGTTTTTTATACCAAAATATTCTCAAATATGCATTTTAGGCTTTATTACCAAAGTATTTATAACTCAGCCCCAGATGCCCATATCAATGAAATAATCGCAGATTTGGAACTTTCAATGCAAGGCCATTGCACAAAAAAAATATGTGAAAACCTAAAAATCCACTTCCTACAGTTATATGTACAGAAGCATACAAAAAAATCTTAAAACTAATTCCTGTATTTGAACATGTCTTTATCTTAAACTTTTTTTTTGAATAATTTGATTGTATATCTGCCAACATTATTTTGTTGTATTTTAATATATGTCTTAGAGCTCAGATGGTGCTCTGAAGTTTTGTGATGTTTTGGTTTCATTTTCTCTGTTTTGTGTTATGTAACCTTTATCTAAAGATTAAAAGGAATACTTTAATAACTTCTGATTTTTATTTTTAACATATTTAATACAAATTTTTAAATGTTAAGTTTAAAATATTTCAAAATAAACATAAAATATATTGATTATTATTTTAATTGTGAAATAATTGATTCTGTCATTGTTACCATCAACATAACTTCTAAATGTACAATTCAAACAAAATCATCATCATTTGTACCTTTTTCTTTGCCTTGTACTGAACAGAGATTTCACATTTTTAAAACAAATAGATTTTTTACACTTTCCTATTACCAACAAAGGTCCAATTGATCTCTCAATTAATTTTCAGACAGTCTAACATTTTGTTTTAATAAGCCTACCCACAAATAAAGATTTATAACAAATGATTATAAAAAAATAAAAGCCACAGGATATTGATAAGTTACTTTTAAAAAAAAATTATATAAATCTACTTCCATTTTACAATAAAATATATTGGCAACACAGTAATTCACAAATAACACAGTATTAGAGATTGCAAATGTTATACATTATGCTACTCATAAAATAAATTTTAATATTAATGTCTACAATTTGCAGTTTGATAATAATCAATTGACTAAATATTAAAATGGTTTCACAAATTTTTTTGTAATATTAGGCATGTAAACTGTCATTTTACATGCCTAATATTATTGAAGTTATTAATATATATTGAAGTTATTTACATATTTTTAAACATCTTTAGTAAATTATTTTATGCAAGTAAGAATTAATATAACTTAATTCTCTTTACTTATAAGAATTAAATTGTCTCCATTCTGTATTTGCTTGAAGAATATTTCCTAAAATTGAAATACACCCTTTGTCAGAAAAGTTCCAGCACAAAGCTTGTAAAAAATATAAAATTGCAATTACCAAGTAATGATCCTAGCTCCTGGCAAAGTAGTCCCCTCAGCTATCTATACACAATTTCCAATGTTTCTGGAGGTCTTGGAAGCAAGCAGAGAAAGCTTCAAATGTGATGCTTGTTAGCTCACTTGTCACAGTCCGTTGGATGTCTGAGATATCTTGACAAAACATCCCTTTCAGTTGCAACCCTTTGTCAGAAAAGTGTGATTTTTCTTGTTTCTGTGAATGAAAAAGCAACTGACATTTCGTCAAGATATCGCAGACATCCGACAGAATATGACAAATGAGCTAACAAGCATCACACTTGAAGCTTTCTTTGCTTGCTTCCAACACCTCCAGAAACATTGGAAATTGTGTATAGATAGCTGAGGAGACTACTTTGCCAGGAGCATTACTTGGTAATTGCAATTCTCTATTTTTTACGAGCTTCTTCCTAAAACTTTTCTGATAAACAGTGTATGTATATTATGACTGAGTCAAGAAAGTGGTGAAGATATCCTCTCTAAACCTTTAAACTATTTTATTTACAAATACAAAAATAATTTTTCAGGTAATATAATTTCACATAAATTTCCAAGAAAATTTTCAAGACTCATTACCATGGCTTATTATTTTATTGTTATGCATAATGTTGAAATTTATCAATAAAATATGTTTGAAGAATTACAAAAGTTATTGTGGCACATACTATTTCACAATTCTTATTAATGTTTGTTTATCAATAAACAAAAAATAGATTTATGTCTTCTATGCGAGCAAACAAATTTTCGGTTTGAATATCTGGTAATTATTAAGTCATAAGACTATACTATTCTAATTATAATTGTTGTTATACCATAATTATTATTCTAAATGTATAATACTGTAAAAATAGCATAATTTAAGACTATTTTTGTACTACCAGATACACCATAAACAGTGGGGTATAATACCCAAAATGTATATTCTGTTTAATTAAAACTTAATTTTACACCATTTTGAAATTTTTTCTGTACAAGTCCATTATAGAATTTTATGCTCACATAGAAGACGTCAATACAACCAGGACAAGAAGCTTTTATTAAAGAAGACAAATTTAATAACAATCACAAATTAAGCATTACACATAAATCTAATATCCAGCAAGAAACTACAAAACTACATAAAAGCAAACATTTTCAACTGTGTTGAATGATGAATGATGACTATTTAATATGGATGAAAGTGTTTGCTTTTATATAGTTTTGTAGTTTCTTGCTAGATATAGATTTTGTGTGTAATGCTTATTTATGTATACTCAATTTGACTAGTTGAATCACAAATTGTTTCTCAGGAATATTATTAATCTCGTTTTGCTAAATTTGTCTTTACTAAGCATTAATGAATCATATAGCACTCATAAGCATATGTTTAGTTGTTTCGGAAAATCATGATATTTTGGTCAATAATGAGATTCTGTAAATTGAAAATGAATCAATCTTATTAATAGATGGAAGTTCCATTGTGGAACATCATTAACTTCTAAAAGCTATATTTTCTATCTTTATAAGCCTAGTATCTGACAAAAATGACTTATTCTGTCTTCTGATAGAAAAATAAGTCTGTATATTTGACGTTTTGTTACAATGATCTATGTTTTTGGTTAAAGTCCAGATACGTATACCGTCATGCGGCTCATCTCTGATTCCAGCAAACAGTGGGGACGCACGTTCTAACCTAACCTATTCTAATAATTTGGTTGGTAATAATTATGGTAATTTATTAGAATAGGTTAGGTTAGGTTAGGTTAGAACGTGCGTCCCCACTGTTTCCTTTCTTTTGTTTGCTGGAATCAGAGATGAGCCACCATGACGGTACAGGCATCTGGACTTTAACCATGTTTTTAACACTTCGCACATCAGTTGAGGGTGAATTAATAACTTGCATAATCGTAAAAGTAATTTAACACATGAATATTGGAAATAAGTTAAAAGTTTAAAAAATAATAATAATAGAGAGGTTGAGGCAGACGTTTTAAACGTGTAAACGTGTAGGACGGACGTTCGGCGTCGCTTTCCCGTAAGCCTAAAAGTTTGACAATGGTGTTTGGATAGTCGGTGGAATCACGCTCAACATTCCAAACACCATCGTCAAACTTCTAGGCTTACGGGAAAGCGGCACCGAACGTCCGTCCTACACGTTTACACGTTTAAAACGTCTGCCTCAACCTCTCTAATATTTGTTACTTCAAAGAAATGAAACTTATTAATTACATTAGTAGAAAATTTATTGATCCGTAAGATATTAATTTAACCTACCATTACGGTACAAAAATATTACAACAAAATAAAGAAACTCATAGCAGACTGACTTTTGTTTACCCCTCGATCCTTAAAGTTGCCATGACAACAGATAATAAAAATAAAAAAAAAGATTAAATATAAAATTTTTAATTAATTGATACATATTCAGTAATATGAAAATNTGTGCATTTGAAAAGACTAAGTGAAAAGATTATGTGAGAACCTAGGGGATAGTGTGCCAAGCTTCTCCTCACTTATCAACTTCTATGTCAGGGATGGACTCGATTAAGTGAGTGGGAGGGACAGCGGGGTCACGATAAGGCGTCGGTTGTACTTATGGATAACACAGACTTAGTTATAAGAATAACATATTTAATTAACTATTAAACAAATGAATACAAATCAAGACTACAAAAAGGGAATAATCCAAATATATTTCGGAATCGTGACAAGAATATATGGTCATCGATGTATCGTCTAACATCTAGCCTATACAAGACATAATATCCTTTAAGTTTAACTAAGTGAATCTATAACCGAGACAGCGAGAGATAAAGACGCGAAAGGATTACCTTTCTCACCACGATGATCAAGATTTTGGAAGTGGGTATGTTGGAGTACAGAGCAGGGAATTGAAGAGGTTCAGCCTGAAGTCTTCTCCTTGGAGATCGTCCCGAGGTGCGGGTGCAACCCCTTTTTATTCATGTCCTGTAGGAGGAAAAAGTTCAGGGAACATCCTGATGCAATTCCACGCAAGTTTGACTGGTCGAGAAAAGTTTCGATTTCCGATAATTAGTATAAACATTTCGGCAGATTTATTACTTTTGCTATCCCATATTGTCACTCTTTCTAACTCATAAATTTGATAACAGGTGTCAAACTAACAGAATTAATGGCTAGAGGTGACTAAGGTTAGGATATATATTGCAATCTTAGTAATAATTGTTTGTTTGGTGGATTATCCGATCGGTTTTATCATTATTAAAATCGGATGAAGTAAGAAGTGAGTGAGTTGGTTTGGTTCGGACTCCACTTGCAGGTGACCTTCCAGGTTACCCTCTATCGTAAACGATTTGAGGTTTTTGCTAATTGGCAAGTTAGTTTGTAAATTGCAACGAAGGTGTAAATTAATTATCCCCGGGAGAGGGGATAATTCGAAATTGGCAGTCGTTCGAAATGACTTTGAAAGTAGGGAAGGTCAATTATTGATGTGATGTTTAAAATCAAGGTTAAAGGTCCTTCTGGGAACTGGAGAAAGAAGGGAAATAATGATAAAAAAATATCGTAATGTTTTAAGTTTTTTAAAACTCCCAAAAGAGTTCAAATCCTCACATATTATCTACTCAAAAAATTTTTTTTTAATTTTTGAAAACAATATATTTTACTAAAAAAAATGTGAAATAATAATTGGTACTAATCTTGTGTAATAGCAAGAAAGAATTTTTGATTTATAGTTATATTAAGTTACTTACATTACTCATTTTCCAATTTGTTTCAGTTATTTTGTGTTTTGAGGTTGAGTTGTCTTATGTTAAACCTCAACTGCTAGAGTTTTATTTGCATAATTTCATAGTACAATTTGAATAATAAATGGAAATGCATCCTATTAATTTAATATTTTAGTCATATTTATAAATAGAAAATTATTTAGATTGATTCTTGTAAACAATTACAAGTTGAGCAAAAACAAGTTTTTCTTAATTTTCACTTCAGTGCACAGCTGTTAAATTATAAATTATTCGTGCTGATTAAGCATTCTTCTTGGTTCTTTTCATGCTGCAATAATTCATGATTATTCTGCAAATGAAATTGTTGACATTCTACTAGTACTTAGAGAATGTCAACATAATTACAGAAGCACAACTTATGCTTATCAAAGTCATTTTCCATAGAGAAGTCATCTAAACATTTCAATTGTTCAATTGGGACAAATTGATAGGTCTTACTGTATCTAGAAAGACACAAAATGCAAAGCATCAATGGCAACTACACAAAAAAGCTGACATTCTTTACTTCTTCTATGAAATATAAAAGATGCGAATGGTTCTTGGATAGAAGTACTTTTTTATGTTTGTTTTCTAGTAGTAAAAGTATGCTAACAGAGCCGACAGAGATACAGAAAATAGTAAGCAATGCACCGAATAAATTACAACCCTACTTACGCCTCATGAGATTGGATAAACCGATTGATATCTCACGACAACTACACAATGGATAATTGTGCATTGGCAGTTTTGACAATGAATCATGATTATCCAAAAATAAGTCTTTGACAAACAGATCTTAACGTAGGAATATCTAGATCAACTATGCATTGGATTTTGAAATCAATACATTTTCATTTATATTATATCATGTTAGTCCAAGCCTTATCTGAAAAAAACCATTGCAATAGAGTTGCATTTTGTCAGAGGGTGTTCCAACAAACAATTGCACAATCTAATTGAAGCCGCCATCTGCAGAAGTGCCTAAGTGACTATTTCCAAATATGCAAGTGAGAAGAAGTAAAAAAATTTTTGATTCAGGCAAATAACAGTTATAAACTCACATTAAATAAACTTTAAAATTTAAATATAATACTGATACCACTACTGACTTAATAAAAATGTTATGCTTATGAAAGTAAGGATGTATTCTGTTTGGCAAATCATATGCATGCAGTACAACATTCTGCAGTCAACTGTATGCAACTGCTTCCTTGTTACTTGAGTGTATCATGCTCAAGTTCAAACAATTCAAATTTTTTTTTTCATTCACCATGAAAGCATTCTTTTGATTGTTTTCAATCAGGAAGAAAACAATTGAAATATTATATCTGATGATCTTGTGGGAGCCATAGATAAGAAACTTATCAAAAAAGAGAATAAATCTTTTGAGGGTTTTTAATAGAAATGGGGCTTTGCTTTTTAGGGGGCAGAAAATGATTAAAAGAAGGAAAAAATTTGTTTTTGGTTAACTGGCCAATAATCAATAGTTATGCCATTGCATTTTGGAATTCACAAACTCTATGATTTGAATTGAGAGATAGAAGTATTATACAACTTTTGGTGATCCCTGTCTGCCATCATCCATTCATCTCGAAAATTTTAAGTTCGGATCATGTGACATATTTACTACACAAAATTTTGATTATCCTTCTCAGCATATTCTAAACATCCACAAATCTAATAATTTGAATTGCATGATGGAACTATTATACAACTGTTTGATGAACCCTGTCTTCCATTGTCTGTACATCCTCGAAACTTGAAAAATGATTTCCCTAAACAACTATTTGATGATCCCAATTCTGCCATCCTGATGCACAATGAAAACTTTACTTGCCATGTAGTTTAGTTTCTTCTTCTGAATGTAATTCTGCTTGGCAATTCCTGTATTTTTCCTTTATTTACTTGGAGTTTCTCTGGCCCTGGTTCAGATCTTTCCTAAGGATGTTGGTAATTTATGAAAAATATCCAGTATAATACTGAACATTTCTTTTGCAGCTGAACAATTCAGTTATCTTTGCATAATAATCACAAAAGTTATTTGAAAAAGTTAAATTTTAAACTGTTATTATCCATGTTTTGTTATTGGCATAATTTGGCAAAAAATTTTCTTTTCCATACATGTGTGATTAGGTCATCTACTGAAAACCTCATTCAAACTTCTCTACATTTAGAAGCTGTAGACCATTGAATGTTTTTTTTTTTTCATTTTTATTTGTCATGTATTGCAATATTATTCTGAATGAATTTTCCAGCATTCTAGGTGAAATGTAATTCTGACACACAATGTGGTTTTCATATATGTTGTTGGCGTGCAAAAGAGAAATGAACATTTATAAATTTAAAAAGTGTCAGAAATTTAATTGAGAGGGGGATAAATGAAAAAATTTTACTAATGAAAATATTAATAATGAAAACAACATGGTCAGGGACAACAATGCAATTTAAGTGCACAGAAGATTACTTTTGTAAATATCTTTGGCAGCCTATCAGTAGAGACTGCACACTGCTGAGCAGGATATCGTTCATTTACAGAAAATTTTTTCTGACAATTAGCCAAGTTGTGCATGGTTTGCTCACTTTGCATGTGACAGAGCATAAGGATTGCCAAAAAGAATAATTTTGTAAGTAGTCACAAAATTTAGTTTGGATTTAAACCATTTTTTGACATCCAGCTGGTAAATTACTTACAGCGACACAAATACCAATTGTGAGGGACGAACAGACCCGCAATAAAGTGTTATTTTAAACTTTAATTATTGGGAAATTCTTAACTTCGAGCGTTTTATCAAGTTAGGCTAAAAGCCATAAAAATTATTTCCCACAGAGTTGGTTCCTTGTTGAAGAGGATCTAGCTAGTCAGTGATGTGTCACCCGGAACTTTCGATAAAGTGCCCACATTGGATACCAGACCCTTAACAACAACCTCCTGATCTCATGGGAAAAACCCAAGAGGAATAACAAGGGAGAACGGAAAAAAACACCCAAAGTCAGTCATCTTCCAAAGTCCTTCCACCAAAGTCGTCCTCAAGGATTAATATCGTGACCAAGAATCCAGAATTAAAACCATGACAATTGTGCCTCTTTAAGGATATCATCCCCACTTCCGTGCTTCCACACCTCCGTGTTCCTGTTAACGAACAAGACCCAGAAACATTTGATCGAACATTCCATCGGCGGTGTCATCTTACTACAGATCTTTGACTCAGAAGAAAGGTATTTATCAACCCGCAATTCGTTTGTAAACTCTCTCTCTCTCTCTCTCGAATGGCCTAGTATAATTAGGGGAACTTTAGGCATGCCCGCTATTGAATATATCTGTATTTTCTTTGGTTCTTATTAAAATTGTTATTTGTTAGTTAATATGGAATCCGAGTGAGTCACTTCCTCGTCTCTCTCTTCACCTCTGCTCCGAAGCCCACTGCTCAACCGATACTGCTCGCATGACATAAAGTTGCGATTTCCGAGTCCTGAGAGACTCAGTGGTGTCACATCCTGACGTGGTGTCAACAAGACACCGATCCTACGGTCACACAATTATCTGAGGTAATATGGACCAATAATACTTGGATAACTGAAAACTCAGATAATATGAACAACTACAATCATT